ATGAAAGAAAATAAAGAAATGGAAAATAGAATAAAAGAGTTAGAAAATAAAGTTTTAGAACAGCAAAAAGAAAAGGAGAATATTTAACCAGACTTCCTTGTTCGTCTTCCCAAAATTGGGTAAAAAACTTGGTGAACTCAACTGGGACATAACCAATACTTTTTTTAATTTCTTCAGTCAACCTAGCTTCCCATGCCATTCACAAAGCATAAGGCTCGCAGGCTTGAATTACTTCATCCCAATCACAGATTATTTTTAGTTTTTTTGGGGTGTTTTTGTAATGGTCGTATAGAGTTGTTATTTGTTTACTCATAATCTTTAAATTGTAAATACTTATTCTAAATATAATTATTTCTTGATTTTTAAATTTGCAATATTTTTGCTTCCTGTCTTTCCTCCTTATCAGTTCTTAAAGATTGACGCACCTTGGCAAAGACCGTCAGCAATCATTTTCTGCCTTCCAATTCTTCTTCTAATTCCTCAGTGCTACACTGCTTAAAAACCAACGCTTTAATTCGCCTATACAATTTCAAGCATTCTTGATGGAAGATACAATTATCTAGTTCACTGCCTTCTTGCTGAAATTTATTTTTCCCTTCCCACATCCGTAAAGGTTCATCTGTAAAAGATTTTAAACACAAATTACAGTCAGCAATACCAAGCGTGGTATCTTCCTCACCTCATTCACTAGTTTCTTTTAACTTCTTTTCTAATTCTTTACTTATTGCCATATCTTACTTAAATCCATGCTTTTCTAATAATTTCTCTGCTTGCAATCTTTCAGTTTCGGTAAGCGGTCGATTGCTTTCTATTATTTTTTCTACTTCCTTATTTCCACTGTCCGGATCGTTTTCATCTCTAACCGGAATTAAAAAGAATTTGCTGAGAAAATATTTAAGGGCATAAGTTTCAGCCGAACCTTTGGCTTTGGCAGGGTCAGTATTAGAACCAATAGCCCAAAATCTAAAAGTCATTTTCTCCTCACTAACTCGATAATTAATTAAATCTGATTGGGTGCTATTAACTAAATCACGGGGAGTTATCTTATCCTGAACATTAACTATCTCTGCTTTCTTTAAATATTTAACTACCCATTCTTTATCTTCCTTTTTGAAATACATATCGGCACCAATGTCGGGAAAATTATCTCCTTTTGGTTCGCTACCAGAGGAAATTTCATCGCTAAAATAAATAGCCACTTTATGCTTTTCCAGCAAAGGTTTTAACAATTCTAAACATTGCTTTTCATTGAAATATTTATACTTCTGATATCTATTTTCTTGGGTGCGAAATAGACTACCAATCTCCGACTGTATTTTGTAGAGTTTGCTATGTAAACTATTTTGATTATCTAATGATGCTTCGCTACTTGTTTTGGTTGTTGAAGGAGAAGCCGCCGGCTTTTTACAAACTTTATAATGTTCGTCTCAATATTTTTTTAATCCTTCCGCCCCACCGACAATTACCCTTTCTTCTTTCATTCCACAATGGAAGCAACTCAATTGTTTTTTTTCTTGCAATTTATTTTCTGTCATACTTTATTTATATCTTACTATCATTTTATATTTAAATCTAGATTGTAATAAAAAAATTATTTTTCTTCATTTATTTTGTTAATTATTTTTTCTTTCTCCTTACGAGCCTGAGCCTCTTTTATATCTCAATCATGAGGATACATCTTCTTAAAAACACTATCGGGCAATTCAATCGCCCGTCAAGGATTAAAATTAAAAACCCGCGAACTCAGAGAAAATCATTTTTCAAACTCTTTGTCATCCAAATTAAATTGGTGTTTCATCTGATAAGCTATCGACCTCGTGGCTATATTACCCTCTTTGATTACTCCGACAATAGTAGCCATTAATCATTCATTTTCTTTTTCAACTTTACTTATTTCAGCATTAACCGCTTTTCTTAAACATTCTTCCTTTTCTTTTTGCTGTTCTAAAACTTTATTTTCTAACTCTTTTATTCTATTTTCCATTTCTTTATTTTCTTTCAT